CAAATCGCAAAGTGCATAAACTACTTTATATATAGGGTGTTCTTTAAGTACATTGCCATACTCAAAGGAATAATTCTTCAATTTATTTTAAGTAAAAAAGTTCATATAAAGTTTATATAAACATGTATCCTAAACGACTTAGTTTCCGAAATGCAGGGTGTTTGAAAAAAATTTTTTTTTAACGTGTAGCTTCCTCTAGTTCCGATATTCTAATTGTCACAAGCCTGCCAAGAGCAACAGTATCCTTTACAAAAGAATTCCCTTCACGAAAGAATATCTTTTACGCCTTTTTTCGAAGATAGCGGTGAATGTTCACAAATGTTTGACGACATAGTAAATTGCGTTGGGAATATCTTTCTGCATAAATATGCCTTGCTTCACGTAAGTTACTATTTGCACAACCATATACATAAAGTACATATCTGCTATTTAAAAACTTGTAAATTTAGGCATCATGAAATCGAGTTTAATGGGTTGAAATTTGGCCCGAAAACGTATATAAGCTAACTAACCCGCAGCAACATCAGAACTGAAGTTTGTTTTTATTTTTATGACTTTGATATTGTCACTTTGTCTACGGTCGTGCGAATGGTAATTCACATGAAGCAATTAGGCATAAATATTTATGCAAAAACAAATCCTTAACAATTTATGTGGTCAAACATTTGCGAACATTCACTTGTATTTTGAAAACTAGGCCGAATAGGATATATTTATATGAACTTTTTTACACAAAATGAAACAAAAGAATTGCGCCCTTGAATATGGAAATGTACTTAAAGAAGGCCCTCTGTATAAACCACAATAGATTATATATAAACAAGTATAAAAATGTATACGATTGTTATATCTATTTATACTATAAATACATTAAAAAATTTGTAATTATATATGAGATAGATTTATATATAATCATGTATAATTTTTTTTATGTATGATTACATAAAAAATTACACATAATTATATATATTTTTATACAATTTTATATAGTTGTATTATACGTATATGAAAAATTTTTTACCGGGAAATAGTGTGAGTTAACAATGCTCAACTTAAGATACATATTAATTGTTTAATTTTAATTGTAAATTTTAGCCTTTATATAATTTTTTAGTCTTAACATTGAACCTAGAAAAAGACTTATAAGTGGAATAAATTTTTGCTTCATGTTCTTCAGTTTACTTCCATAATAAATAAATGCCGCAATTTTTACTTTGTAATATAAATAGAACAATCGCAGCGCATACCCATAGCTTGCAGTTTTTTCATTGCGTTGTGTCCATGGTGCTTTCTTAGCACTAGTCTCACCTGGGTTAAATTGAATCTAGAAATATTCGTGTAGTACCATTTGTCGGTAGTTGTGACTATAAAATGCTTGTGATCGTATATCGCACTTATCCATTAAATTTTATTCTCTATAGTTTTATATTCTTTTCCGCCTAATTTTCTTTTATTATTATAGAACAAATCAGAAGATATGATGTGTCTTTCGCATTAATGTACGGATGAACTATTTCAATCTCATAAATATCAATCAGGGTTGTCACGGAAAAATCGGGAAAACCGAGAAAAGCTAGAAAAATTGACATTTATAAAATCATGTAAAAATCGCCTCATGAGACGCAAAAAATAATATAGTATATAAAATTGCATGCAAAAATTGTGAGGCAACATATGTCAGCCAAACTGAAAGACAACTTAAAACTAGAATCTCAGAACACCGAAAGCATATAAAACGGAACACGTCCACTCGGTTAATCATTCCGATCATAGAATGCAGGAGGATCACAAATTCGAATGGGAAAACGTTATTATTATTTCAGATGAAGAACCTTATTATACGAAAAGATTGATTTCTAAAATGTTATTTATCAAACAAAAAAGTCTAAATTTATACTGAACACAGAATTTATACAGATACTGAAAGTCTCCACAAAGCTTATTTCTCTATTATTGTAACTATAATATAATATAGTCTCGATTCGTCAATAATGGATAGCTGTAGAATGAAGTGTTGTAAACGTAAACTATACATCTTTATTTTAATTTTTTTTACTAAGCTTTTGAACAATGAATCTATACATCTTTACTTTGAACATTTGAATAAGATCTATCATTAATTTATTATCCTTAAAACATGTATTATTGGAAGCGGAATTGAGCGCTGAACGTGAAGTCAACATCTGTGCAAGAGAGAAAGTTATAGAATCGCAGTTGACTGTAAATGCACATACAGCGCTTAACCCGTTTGTCCACGTTCCACTTCATTCGTATGTTTATAGCCATATATTTGTGCCAAAGTAAAAAAACGAATTTAGCATAATAAAAAAATGCTTTACAAATATTGTATAGTGTGTGGTAATCATAATAATAAATTCGGTTTTTTATTAAGTTAATGTAATATTTTATGAAGGCATCAATTATGTGGTAACATGTAGGTTATGTTTACATATTGGGTCATCTAAAAAGTATCCTCGGTTTTTTGTCACTAGATGTGTGTTGATGGTCATATATCTAGTGACAAAGTACCGCGGATACTTTTTAGATGACCCAATATGTTATTGATATTTGATACGTACTTCATATTTATTTCATTTCTTTTGAAAAAGTTTCCCAAAAATAAATAACTTTATAAAAATGGCTGCAGTTTTATGGAATTAATAAAAATATTTTAATAAAGATATTAATAAAGATAATTTTTTCACCAGGGCAAATTAGTGTTAAAATGAACTTTAATATAAGAATGAAATGTGAGGTTAAAGTAAAATTGATCTGAATATCCTTATCAATTCCATAAAACTGCAGTCATTTTCATAAAGTTATTTATTTTTGGGAAATAAATTATTAAATATAATAGATTAAGTCAGTTTTATTACCATTTTGTTTAAAATACATAACATAAAGCTTCTGCAACTAAGGACCAATGCAAATAAAAAACTTAAGTATTAAAACGAATTGACCAATCACAGTAGAATGCTTAAGATCATAACGTAAGCAGTAGCCAATCCACATGTTGATTTCTTTACTGCTTACATCTTGCTGCTTTAAGTTTTTTGTGTGTCATGGCCTTATATTAATAAAATGAATAATAAACTATGTAAGAAACGCTAAAACAACTGTATCATTCACACAGCAACAATACTGACGCATGCACATTTAGGACCCTCTAGATTTTTCTCTCGCGCACATGTCTTCAGGTTTGGTATATGGATGGCATGGACAATTCCAATTTCTACTTCCAGTAGTATATGTTCTAAGATTTTATCAAACTAATGCACAATATTTACATGAGGTATTGTACAATAACACCTCCAATGCTTATGATTAACTTTTATCACAATTGTAACTGTTACAGTTATTCCCCTCATTTATGCTTATTTCATAAAAATAGCATTTCGATTTTCATCCGGTCGATCAACTGTTCGGGATTGACCATATAGCGTTTCAAGATAACTTTCTAATTCAAGAATTAAGAAACAACCGAAAGTATTCAGACGCAAATAACGCAATTGTATATCAACGAAAAATTAATAGTTGTAAAATATTTACTATCGTTGTCGGATTATCTGAAAAAGGCTCGAAAACAAGCCGAAATATGTAAGACGTAACATGTATAACCGAATTCGATTATTAAATAGAAATTGTTTATTATGCACTATTTACCGCGCTCGATTCCTATGCCCTCTTTACCATTTGTAATTTAGAGAAATTAAAATTGGCCATTGAAAACCAGGAAAAGTCAGGAAAAAATATAAAAGGGTCTAGAATTTTTTTGGACTTTGTTCACAATTTTCTTAACTGCTCTTTTATTCCAAATAATTTATAATTTTTTAAATATTATATAGGGTGTCCCAGACACCCATACACCTCTTTTTTTTAGGCTAATTAAATATATGTTTAGGTAATAGTTTCAGGTAATAGTTAAAAAGACCTTTTTACTAGTCTTATATCAGTTTGACTTTGGGTAGCTAAACTTCTTTTTTTTTTCATTTTTAGTGTAAAAATGAAAATAAAAGAATAAATCTCCAAAGATCTTGATCTTAGTATATAATATCAAGCTCATGTCTCTGAAAAACATTTAAAAGATTGTAATCATTAATAATAACACCTTAAATAATGCTAACCGCTTCCAGCGATAACTTTCAAGCCTTATGATTCAAAAAATATTTAATGAAAAAATATTTTGTCATAGTGTTTTGAAAAACTCTCGAGATAAACTACAAGAACATGCAATAAAAATTTGAAAAAATCGATGTGATCTTAACCTGATCTTGCGCCACCCAAAGTCAACTGATAAGACCAGTAAATAAAGCTTTTTAAACCTTAAAATTATTATCTGAACATATTTTATGCGTGCACGCGCGCGCGCGCGCGTGTGTGTGTGTGTGTTAAAACTTACATATTTTATATTAGTTATGGAAAACTCTATTTTCATCTGAAAAACTTGAAATAATAATGAAAGGAATTTCAAAATTCATTTTCTGTGACAGCCCTGATCAATTTTTATTTATAGTGTATTTTTTAATACAATCTTGCAAATGTGCATCCATGAGTATAGCGGTTTTTTCTTACTTTCTAATTATAATTATTTCTATCACAAGCACTTTCTTATCATGGGATATTCACTTCAATTAATATCTTTCATAAACATGTAATACTTGAGCTAAAAACAATTGTTGGAAGTAATTACATTCCTCTCTAGTATTATATATTATCATTCTCTAATTAATTATAAATAAACTTAAAAAAATCAATCATTGTTTCTTTTTATAAGAGAATTCACATTATTATTAAACATTTTTCTTTTTAAATTAAACAATATCATGAAATTAGATAGACAAACAGATTAGTTCTAATTACTCAATGATATAAGTTGTTCTGATTTCAAGATATTGAGAAATAACTGATTGAATTTTCTTTTTGAAGACTTATGTAATCCTTCTTTGGCGGAAATAAAAAGTTCTTAGATTGTTCTATAAAAATTTCGAAACATCCAACAGAATCTACACGATGCGAAGCCGAAGATCGTATCATCGAACTTGGCGCTCGACAGCAATCATACAATGGTCGATATCAAGGAAGAGTTAACATACATGAGCAGTAACGAAGACTTAAAGAAAGGTCACAATGATTACATCCTCAAAAGAATCCCAGCTGGTGCTGAGGCAACAGTCGTACTTGTCGGTGCTGTCGACTTTTTGGATCAGCCAACGATAGCCTTTGTACGATTAGCCGAAGGTGTACTTATGCCGTCCATTACGGAGGTCACGATACCGGTCAGATTTATGTTTACCTTATTAGGACCGAGAAATGCAGACTTGGACTATCATGAAATTGGTCGGTCCATTTCTACTCTGATGGCAAACACGACATTTCATAAAGTCGCTTATAAAGCCAACGAGAGACGAGAGTTACTTTCAGCTATTAATGAGTTTCTAGATGATTCAATTGTATTGCCACCTGGTAATTGGGAAAGACAAGCTTTGCTACCGTTCGACGAGCTTAAAGCGAAGAGTGAGGCTATCAGGAAACGGAAGGCGAAGGCACTCGAAGAGAAAAGCAAACCGGAACAAGATGAGGCAGCCGCAAAAAAAGGTAATTTCTCCAAGTAATTCGACAAACAAGAATTTAAAATTCGATAAAAAAATATTTTGATAATTGAATATTCGTTTTTCAATTCTTATCGATCTCGTTCTTTCATTTTTAATTAATTATTTAATTTTTAATTATTATCGTCTATAATGTAATGTATGTGTAACAGCTCTTCTCGCCGGCGAAGAGGAAAAGAAATCATCAGAAGACGATTATGATCCATTGCGACGTACCAAACGACCATTCGGTGGCCTCATCAACGACATTAAGCGTCGTTACCCTTTCTATTTGTCCGATTTTAAGGATGGTTTGAGCTCATCTTGTGTCGCGGCAGCTATCTTCATGTATTTCGCCGCGCTATGCGGCGCCATCACATTCGGCGGCCTGATGAGTGATAAGACACAAAACGTAATAGGAATTTCCGAGACTCTTATTTCCGGTTCGTGGACGGGCGTGATAATGGCATTGTTCGGCACTCAACCGCTTTTGATTATCGGGACAACTGGTCCGCTGTTGCTCTTTGACGAGAGCTTATACAATTTCTGCTTGGCGAACGAGCTTGAGTTTCTCACCGTACGGGTATATGTTGGCGCCTGGATGGGTATCATCGCCCTGGCAATCGCCTGTATCGAAGGTTCCGTTCTCGTGCGACTCTTCACGCGCTTCACCGAGGAGATCTTCACTGGATTGATTTCTATCATTTATATCGTTGAAACGTTTATGAAGCTTTACAACTACTTCGTGCGCAATCCTCTTCTTCACGAATACAGCTTTGGGCCGGACACCAACAATATAACCTATCCACTCTACGTTGCTGAAATGAAGGTTACTCAATCGCCATGGAATGGAACTGAAGAAACCCTACGCTTGGAAAACGTTCGCGAACTTCTACCGAGTCATGATAGAATTAGGCTGCCAATTAATCAACCCAATACAGCTTTAATGTGTACTATCCTTTGTCTGGGCACTTTCCTGGGTGCCTACTACTTGAGAATCTTTCGCAACAGCCATTACTTAGGCCGTAGTGCTCGAAGAGCCTTCGGAGATTTCGGCGTGCCTATTAGCATTGTCGTTTTTGTTCTGATCGACTATCTACTTATGGTAAAGACGGAAAAGTTGCTGGTACCCGAAGGACTCTCCCCAACTATACCCGGTAGAAATTGGTTCGTATCTCCTATCGGATATGAAAAACCTATACCGCTTTGGATGGCTCTAGCTTGTGTGGTGCCAGCTTTGCTGGTTTACATCTTAGTCTTTATGGAGACTCAAATATCGGAGTAAGTTTAAATTTAATTACATTTAATTAAATCGCTTGCTTAATTGTCAAATATGTTTGCGTTTCTGATTAATCGTTCGTTTTGCAGATTGATTATCGATAAAAAGGAGCGAAAACTGCGAAAAGGCAATGGCTATCATATGGACATCGTGGTAGTATGCTTGATGAATATAGGATGTGGATTGATGGGTGCACCTTGGTGCTGCGCTGCGTCGGTGCGCTCCCTCACCCATGTATCCGCCCTAACCGTGATGTCACGCACTCACGCGCCTGGTGACAAGCCGCATATTGTTGAAGTAAAGGAGCAAAGAGTGAGCGCTCTCCTGGTCGCGATACTTATAGGCGTGAGTGTGCTGATGGCACCATTGTTACGGCGGGTACCGATGTCCGTTCTTCTTGGTGTGTTCCTCTATATGGGGATCTCATCAATGAATGGCGTGCAGCTATTTGACCGCGTCAAACTGTTTTTCATGCCAGTCAAGCACCATGGTACAGCAAATTACGTACGCCGTGTGCAAACCTATAAAATGCATATTTTCACCCTCATACAAATCTTGTGCTTAACTGTATTGTGGATTGTCAAAAGTACCAGAGCCGCCTTGGCCCTACCCTTCTTCCTTATTCTGATGATACCGTTGCGCGCTCAGATGAGCTATTTCTTCACCACTGCGGAGCTACGTGCTCTCGATAGTAAAGGATCCGAACACGATGTCGAGGACGAGCTGGATTTTTACGAAGAAGCTCCTCTACCTGGTTAGACTGTGCCTTAATAGATTATCCAATACCACATCTCTCCCTCCCCCTTCTCCCTTCTTTCCCCCTCCGTCTCTTTCTCTCTCAATTCATGTACTTCCAAAATTATCTATCATTACTTATCTCACATCTCTCAAAGATCCTTATCTACTAATTCGTAAATACAGAGTTCTATTACTTTTATCAAATTGGAATATGTGACGTTCATTAATAGAGTCCATTGGTAGGTAGCTGAAAGCAATGTCATATATACACCGGGTGTTTTAGATCCGTACATCCTTTCATCTTCGCAGGATAAGGATCCAACCGTAAAAGTGTTCAGACAAAAGTTGTGGAGTTTAAAAAGATCTATTTACAGATCTTATTAGTTTGACCTTAGGTGGCGTCGCCAAGGTCACGTCGATTTTCTTTAATAAAACACTCAACTTTTTATTCCAGTAACTAATAGCCGCTTTCAAGAGCTTTTCAAAACATTATAATGAAGTTATTTTTCATTTTCGAATTATAGAGCTCGAAAGTTACAGCACATTAACATTTGTCATTCATCATTGGAGGTTGTATCTCTTATTTTCATTTTTGCACTAAGAATTCATTTTTATGTAAAAATGAAAATAAGAGATACAATCTTTAATGACTTCGATCTTGACAAATATTATTCAGGACATGATCCTGAACAACATTCACAAGAGCCGTCGATCGGACACCTTGCGTAAAGCCGTGATCAGACTATGTATTGGAGATTGAGATTGAGATTGCAGATTGAAATATAGGGCTCTATTTTTCCAATCTTCAATCTCAATCTCAATCCAAGCTTCCAGTATTTAAGTCATCATGACTAACCTTACCAAATGTATGTGTGTACAAAATAATAAGTTATAAAAAATTATAATAAGTACAAACACAGCACAATTAAAACATATGAGTGCAATTAAATGCGTATTCAATAATTTTTGTTATGTGTGATTTTAGGTATCCAATATTCTTACTAATCTCAATCTTAATTGTTATTGGATTATAATTCATAGTCATCAAAATCGAGCAATCTTCAATTTTAATTTCAATTTCCAATGCATAGTCTGATCACGACTTAATGCTAATGTCTGCGGTACTGTAATTTTCGAGCCCTATAACGCGAAAAGTACTCAATGAAAAATAACTTTATTATAGTGTTTTGAAAAGCTCTCAAGATAAGCTATAAGCTATAAGAATATGCAATGAAAAATGGAGAGTTCCATTTAAAAAATTCATGATTTTGACTTGACCTTGACAATGTCACCTAAGGTCTAATAAGATTAATAAATAGATCTTTTGAAATTCCACAACTTTTGTCTGAACACTTACGATTGGATCTTATCCTGCGAAAATGAAAGAGGTGTACGGGTGATCATATATATATATGTATGTATGTGTATACACTCGTTGACAAAATTATCACATAGGTAAATTTATAAAATTTTACATAAAATTCAAATAAGCGTAATTTCATGAAAAAGTTGCATGAAAAATATTAGGTGTTGGAATTAATTCGTAGCGTTTTTAATGAAAGAATGTTATTTATTTCACATGAGCATTAAAAAATACATTAATGAAAGTACTTCCCATCACTTGTAAAACGCTACGAATTAATTCCAACACCTAATAGTTGCATTTAAAAATTTTTTTTCATTCTCAAGGATAAAGTCTGTATTTTACGAAGCTTTTAATGGATTTTGAATCTATCCTTACCTCTATTCTAATGTCTTCAAAAATAAGGATGTGTTTGATCTTAAGAAATTTGTGTAGTTTGACGCACTCTACAGGATGAAGTAAATTTTTTTTCACAAATTTCGTGATAACTGTCGTAAAATATGGACTTTTCTCTTACAAATTAAAAAAAATTAAGCTATACAATTTTTTTTTAGAAGATACAGTGTATCAAACTTACTTATGCATTTTACTCAATTGTCGCCAGCATCAGCATTATCCAATGCGCACGACGGAGAGGTTGTGATCGGATTTTGCATATTACGCGCGTGCGCGCGTACGTGCGGTGTGTGGGGGGAGGTGGAGGCATGTGGGGGTATGTTTGCTCTTTAAAATTGTGTATTTTCGCCTCGTCTTCGGATGACCTCTTGTAAATGTACATGCATATTGATCCAAGCACTAATTGAAGCCTGAAGAATTAGCCTCTTATCATATTCGATGCAATGCTGCTTCTAGTTGCTGCTGATTTATTGACGGTTCCTCTTTTTTTCAATTAGAGCTTGCATCAATGCGTGTACGCATTTACAAAAAATTATCCGAAGACAAGATGTAAATGCACAATTTTAAAGAGCAAACATACCCTCACATGCCTTCCTTCCTCTCCATATACATACACACACACACACACACACACACGCGCGCGCGCGCACACACACGATGCGCAAAATCTTCTTCGTGGTGCGTATCGGGTAATGCTAGCGGTAATTGAATAAAATGTAAAGATGAATTTGATACATTGTATCTCCTAAACAAAAATCATACAAAGCTTAATGTTTTTTTATAATTTGTAAAAGAAAAGTCTATATTTTACGAAGGTTATCATAGTATTTGCGAAAAAAATGTATTCCATCCCGTAGAGTGCCAAACTATGAACTACAATTTTTCTTAAGATAAAACACGTCCTTATTTTTGAAAAAAACATTAGGTAGAGATAAGGATAGGATTTAATGGATCAAAATCTATTAAAAGCTTTGTAAAATTCAGACTTTACCCTTAAGGAAAAAAAAATGCGACCATTCTTCGCGGAATTATGTTTACCTGAATTTATGTGAAATTTTTATATACATTTATCTATGCGATAATTTTGTTGACGAGTGTATTATATATACGTATAACCAAAAAGAAATTTAAGAGGACATGAGGGCTTTTTTTCTGTAATCGCAAATTGTCCCCGCGCATTACTGCCCTCTGAAGAAATGGATATAAACTATGGAAATAAATTGTTGAAATAAAATGTATGAAATTAATAGAAATTTCAATGATTTCAGCGATTTATTTTCATCAGGAGCACCGTAAAAAAATGGATATTGTTTTGTAATTTACATCCACTTCTTTAGAGAGCAATAGCGCGCGGGAGCATTTCGCAGTTACAGAAAAAAGGCCCTCATATTCTCTTAGATTTCTCTCTAGTATAATACAGAAAGACTTTTCAACATTAGACATCGTTTGCACTAATTTTTTAGTTTTATTTATTGCGGAATTTTTTTCCATAATTTTCATGATGCTTGGAATGCATATAAATATTTTATAAATATTTTTAATATAAATATTTAAAAAATATTTAACATAAACATAAATATTTTTATTTTTGTTGATAATTATAATTACATTCTGCTTATACATTTCAATTATTTTTTTAGCGTAAAATTTAAATGTAAATAACCTGACTGTATTTCGAAATGTTTTAATTACCTATATATTGTATAATGACATCTTTGCGTTTTTTAAATTAAGCGAAAAATTGATGCCTCTAAGAGCCTAACGTTTGCTCTTGATGATGCAATGCTCATTATCAAGAGTTTATATAATGGCACATGCGTAAGGATAACCAAATGGAAATGTTACGAGAGAGAATAATGTTGGATTAATCATAATTTTCAAGAAATAACGTTTTCACAGATCGTTCTTCTTTTCTTTCTTTCGTAAATATATATGTACATATGTGTATATTCATGAAAACATATGTACATGTATATTCATTAATAAAACAGTATATATAGTATAATTCCAAGATGTTTATTCCGTTTGTTCCACTTTTATTACTATTTCTATTATCAGACCGCTAACTCCCCAGTTCCTTCCTTCCTTCCTATAAAAGTGTTGCCTATGTGAAGTGGATGCGCAGAATAACATTTCTCACGCAGAATATCTCTCTCAGGAAAGAGATTCCAATAGATTAGGTGGTTTAGTGTTTCTTTGATTAGTTCAAAAGTATGTAGAACATGCGCAGTATGTAAATGTTATATTATATAATTATATACTTATTCTGCGCATATAGTATATATACGTTTTGTAGATCGATTTTAAATTTCATACAACCATTAAACCTTGAAGACTTATTATTTAGAAATTCGTATAGGTATGTGTTACGCCGTTGTCATTCCACGTTTTTGTTTAACAAGATACGATTCCCCTTTCCCGGCTCTGTTCAGATTCTCATCCAAGTGCCTCCCAAGTATCTTGCTATCTTTATTAAACAATCGGTGAACACAAGAATAAAATGATACTTGAGTGGGAATCTGAACATAGCCTTGGAAAAGGATTCCAGATATTTTTTGTTCAACAAGATAAGCTCCTGGGAGATCTCTTAGATCTTACCTTGTTAAAAAAACATGTGAAATTCCTTCCAAAATCATGTTCAGATTCCCATCCAGTATCCTAATTCTGTAATTCTTAACAATTGTCAGTATCATATTATTGTCATTGTAGGTATTATAAACAGTAAAAAATTACATAGCGACAACGTATCAATACCAAACTGTTGTTATAAGTTACAGAATCAGGACATATATATTATTTTATGCTTATTTAACATTCAGTGAACAAGAATAAAATAATATCTGGGAGTGAAATTCCACTTGGGTGAGAATCTGAATAACCCTGGAAGGGAATTTTATCTTGTTGAACAAAAACGTGGAGTGATGAATATCTCGTAACACAGATATAGATTTCTAAATAACAATTCAAGTGATTTTAAAATTTAACGGTTTATAATTTAAAATTTAAAACAGCTACAGACACAATTTTCTTTATTGAATCAAAGTTTCAAAGATGTTTCTTTTAATGACTTGAATTATTCAAAGTGGTGTAAACGACTAACAATTATAATATCATTATATTATTAATTATTACGTAATGTTAAATGTAAAAAAATCGCTTTATTTTATTAATAAAAATATGAAATTTATCACGTTTACAACTATTTCTGCCCTCACATACCAACATTTTTTTAGTCTATCGATCAAGTTTTTCAATTTAAGCAAACAAAAAATGTAATAAATAGCCCTTTTTTATTTTTTAGATATTAACAATTTATCTAATTGTTTAAATGAAACGAATAAGGTTTCAAATCAAACAATGCAGAAAAGCAAGACACATACGTTTAAAAATAAGAAAAGTCCTCTAACTCTAATCGATATTTATAGAATGTAGAATACATACACTTTAAAAATTAATATTGAGTGCGGTACATGCACCGAAGGAGATTAAGCGTTTGATGAAACATAAGACACGTCTATAATATATATATAGATGTAATAAAAAAAAAAGTTAATCATATCAATAATATTTAGAAAAAATTTCATTGACTTTTTGCACCGTTTTGAAGATATTTATTTCTAAATTTATAGAATTTTACACTACAAGTTAAAAGGTACCTTATCCTGCAAATATTTTCTTTTAAATTAAGATATTTGCACATAAAGTAGAAAAAAATCGTTATAATTATAAAGTAAACACGTACTTACATTTATTTTTGTAAAGTTTGTATTTAAAATTGACCGTACAGTTTGAAAAAAAATTTATATTCTTCAAAGAAAAAAGCGAGAATGCAAAGATGCGTGTATACATCAAATGAGCATCGCATTATAATTTTTATTTTTCAAAATATTTAGTAATACATAAAATTATACCAATAATTTTATATTCTAAAATATTGAGATATATGAGAATTTGTTCACTAGGAAAAAAAAGAAACGTCTAGAAAAAGAGCTCTAAAGTATTTCCCGCTATATTCGATGTGTTTGTATACAAAGAATGGACTTTTAAGTCCTATGTTTTCCTACATACATGATGTAAATAATTTCATCATTTTCTATATACGAATGATGTTGAAAGAATTCAACGTTTTCTTCTTTCTATCATTAAAAAATCATTTATATCGTAAATAATCTCGTAATCGTTACCTAAATGGCTTCACCACGAAGATTCGTGTCTACGCTAAAGCATCTATCACCTCGGCCACTAGAAAGTGCTATGTTAAACGTTAGGTGAGAATAATCAGAATTTTTGTTATTTAAACTAAAGTCTACAAACGAATAATAATTTATTAGAATATGTCCAAGTCCAAAAACTCCAGATAACATTCACGAAAAAAAGATGGAAGATGAAAAGTTGTCACCGTTCAATATCGATACTCCTAATAGAGTCGAACTACTCAGGAACGGTCTGTCGAGGAAACATCGTTCTGTGCTCGGAGCGGGTGCTTTCGGTACCGTCTATAAGGTACTTTACAAAGGTGCTTTACTGTAATTTTTCTTAATAAATTATATTATTGTCAAATTTGAGGTAATTGCATGTGCATGAGAAATGAAAAGAAATCCATAAATACAATTTACTATTGTTACGTTTCTCAGGAAACCAAATGGCAGCCAAGATAATTCCACGCAAACAAAATGATGATGAAGTAATAAATTCGGAGAGACATGCGACTATCCTGCGACACACCAATATTGTGAAAATATTGAGAATAGAACAAGGCAATAGCTTATCATTGATAACAATGGAACTATGCGGCACGTCATTGAAGGACAGACTGCAGGAATCGGCACTGTCGAAAGAGAAGCGTGTCTCAATCTGGAAAGATATCGCTAGTGCGCTTCAATTTTGCCATGATGCTGGTGTAATACATGCAGATGTTAAAGCAACCAATATTTTAATGGCAGCTAACGGTCAAGCTAAGCTCACCGACTTCGGTAGTTCTATACTAGTCGATGAACCGCACGTTTCAATTAGGCCGCGAGTATGCACGCATATATGCGACTCATTGAATCTTCACTCAAAATACATTAATGAATTTTCTAATAGAATTACAGACACAATATGATTTTTGTAACATTTTTCATATATCCATACATATATACTCATTAGACATGTGTTCATATGTAATGGCGAGATTTTTATTTTTGATGAATTCTATCATACTGCACTGAATTAGTATACATTAGATGAGTGCATATAAGAGGCTTCTTTATACAAGTATCTAAATGCAATGGCATAATGTAATCAACTTTATCAATGAAATAATATAACATGTATAAGTATTCTGTTAAGTATCGAGACAATATCATATCAATTAATGTTTAATGTTTAATGTTTATATACTTCTACATTTACTTTAACTTTACCAATTTATATAACAGCTTTAAATATGCACTAATCTAATTTAATGCAAGTGAAAAAAATTTTGCTATTCAGTTTTCTTTCCTAAAACCTCATTTCTTTATCAGGGTACACCAGGCTATGCAGCACCAGAAGTGCTTCGAGGAGATATACCTACGTTCGCTACCGATATATATTCCTTAGGAATCGTGGCCTGGCAAATGCTCTCTCGAGAAGTACCTTTCTATGGATTACATGTGCATACCGTCATATATATTTCTGTAAAAGGAACACGTCCTGAATATGAAGATCTTGATGACGAGTTCGATGGAAGATACAAAGAATTATTCAGAGCGGCATGGTCCCAGAATATCGCAGATAGACCCTCGCTCCATGAAATAATCAGTAAACTTGATCTTTTGTAATCCATAGTTAACATTTATTTGATCAATTAAGTTTAAGCTTATAACGTATCTTACTTGCGATAAGTAATGAGGTTAATGCTTCATCACAATCTTATCAAGATAGAAATAAATCTGATGCGTTCAGGATGATGGCTTAAAAGTATTATGTATCCGGCATCTCACCACCAGGCACTAACTGCAGCAAAATAAACAAATTAAAAAAATTTGAGTTTTACTTTCCATTTTAATCATGTCAAAAATTATGATTTATTATTCTATTAGAAGTGTTGTTTCTCATAATTATTAAGGTACCTCCAAGTGCGATATGGCCAACATATGCCAACATTAGCAAATATCATACATATATATGACATACATAATTATCTATATATATTAAATAACCAATATTTAACGAATGTGTGTAAAATTGACTTATATATTGGTCATTCATCTGGAGGCACCTTCAAGCTGATTCTACAATGAGTTGGCAGTCAGAAATATTAAGTCTTAACTTAAATAGACTGTGGTGGGTGACTAAGATTTTTCACGTTTACAAGTTAATTGCTTAATCGTTTAGCTTAATTAATGGGAAGGAATAAAGTTGAATTTGGTCTCAAGAAAATCAGTAATCTTATGATGCGTTCAATTTAACGCTCGCAATATTCACGGGTCTTTCGTTTATCCTTAATTAACATTTGATAAACAACAAGGATGAGATGATTTTATCAATATTGTGTCATAGAAGTTGGCTATCCTGATGAAAATAAAAATCCGAGTGTAAATCCGATGTAATGGGAGAGTAACAGAAATGTAAACAAAACTTCTAGAAGGTGAAAATTGAACAATGAAATTGTAAAAGAAGCATTTACGACTCTTTTACATTTTGATGTTTTAATTTTCGCTTCCAGAAGTTTCGTTTATATTTCTGTTACTCTTCCATTACATTCGACTTACTTATGCTCTGATTTTTACTTCATTAATTTAGATCTACCATTGTAGAATCAGCATTGAGTATCATAGATATTATCGATAATGACCATAGTAATATTGCTGCCATTGAGAAGAATCTGATCCAACTTTGTAACTCTGCGACCTTCCGGGGTTGCCTCACTTTCTGTTACATCTTCCAGTAACATGTTGACAAAATCATCAAAACCTTGCAAAGTTCCTACAATCTCCTTGTCATTTTTCATAATAATGTGTATTCGAGAACCGATACACTTGTCAACTAATTCTAAAAGTAATAATATAATTATTCGCATTGGATACAAATATCAAGCAAAACATTATTGGCAAAATTAGAATTAAATTAGAATATGAACAAATTCATTTACCCAAAGGTAATAACGTAGACGGATTGGTGCTAACTGAAGCAGTCATGACGATTTATACAATGAAATAGTCGTCAATTAATATTAAATGTACCAATAGGCAATAGGCATACCACAGTATAAGCACCGATGAGATACTATTAAAGACCATCGACCCTGGGCAAATTTTTATCCTTACAAAAAAGGCTCTAGAAACCCCTTAAAATTCTTTTGTCCTCATTGGTTAAATTTCTATCTTCAATCTCAATTTTCAATGCCTAGTTTCACCAACGTCAACTTAATCGGCTGTTGACAAACCAATCATACGTTTGCTGTTTAGTAGAATCGACCAATTGTGGTTGATCACGATTAAGCTTAATCGGCGTTAGTGAAACCGACCCTTAGGTCGGAATTAGACTATGCATTGAAGATTAAGATTAAAGATCAAAGATTGAAATTTCACCAATGAAAACAAAGAAATTTTGGCTTCTTTTGTTCTGATTGGTCAAACTTTAATTTCATTTTTCAATGCGTGATCTGATTCCGGCCTGAGACTTGAAAAAAGCTATGCCGGCCTCTTTCCTATTAAGGTTTAAACACATAGGCACAGGCAACAGGGAATAACGAGCCGTCCAATCAGAGCTCTGGTGTGTAAATTCAATATTATATCCCAGAGTTCTGATTGGATGGCTCGTTATTCTCTGTTGCCTGTGCCTATTGTATTTAAACCTTTACCGTCGAAATCGCCCGTACGCTATCGCCAGTACATCCATTTTCGGCTACGGTTTGAGAACTACGTGACTACATCATTTTCTGACACTATCGATAAAATCGTATCATCGAAGTGGATATTCGTGTCTGTACTACATCCACAGAATAGAAGCGTACTATTTCTCCATAAGGATAGTGAATCCCTCCATAGATTTGCATATAAATGGGTAATGTAATTATTTTGCACAGGCATACTTGATAAGTATATTTGAATGTGTGTAGACGATCTTAGCTTTATCATTATATCGTGATCTATTGCTAATGCCAATGTTTCGTGATCTTGCTATTTATTTCATCAGGACGAAGAGCATATAGCTGATGCTATGCTTTTCGTCCTGATAAATTGAACAAGATTCATGAAATACTTATCAATTACAACATGACGATAACTCGTAGATGCCCTCTGACATCTTTGAATTAATTAACCTTTTAATTCTGATAAAGATATTTTTTTCTTTCAGATCTTATTACAATAGTGTTTATATCTGAATTTCAATAAGAGTTATTTTGGGAACTCATATATTTCTTACAACCCTAAGTTTATATTTCAAAAAACCTTGATAAAATTTAGCAATTTTTTATTTACTCACAAATATCAAATGTTTTTCTCGAATCTCAGCCTTGCTAAAAAGTTCAGTCCGTTTACATACTAACAGTAGACTTCAGCAGATTCTCTTCAAGAAAATGCTTGTAGAGATACTATAGAAAAACCTCTGAGAAAATGTTTCCGTCAAAAAAAAAAAACGAAATTCTTATTCGTAAATCCATTCTTTAGATGCGTGCGTCCAGTCAATCACTTCTTTCTCGCCAAACCAGAGCTCAATTTCCTTTTTGGCAGACTCAACAGAATCAGAACCATGAATAATATTGCGTCCGACTTGTACGCAAAAATCACCACGAATTGTACCTGGTGCAGAATCCTTAGGATTTGTCTCACCCAACATTACACGACCAGTCTTTACAACATTCAAGCCTTCCCAGACCTAAAATAGAAATTTTATAAACACATATATTAATGTAAATTAAGTTGTTCAATTGCATATTATTGATATTTGGTTTTGAATTGATATTATTGATATAAATTAAAATTTATTGTTATACAATATCAATATTTATTATTTTATTTATATATATTATTTTATTCTTATTTTATTATTTATATATATTATTTTATATCTTATAAGAAAATCACCATTGGCACAACTGGTCCTGAGCTCATATATGTGACCAAACCTGGGAAGAAGGGTCTTGATGCCAGATCTGCATAATGTTTCTTCAAGAGATCTTCAGAAGGCTGTAACACAAAGATATGAGATTTGTTTTTTATTGCTGTACTCTGAACTGATGCAAACATATGTTTCACTTCAACTTATTGCGCTGCGTGTATTAGTTCAGAAAGTGCAGTAATAGAAAACAGACCTATAGTATAGAAATTAGAGAAATATAGATATCTTTTTTAATCAAGGATATTAAAGATTCAATCTGCTTTAAAAATAATTAAAAACTATATTTCCTATAAAAAATTCATATTTACATTTTCTTATCATGTTATTTATTATGCTTGCAAGCATATGATTGTACAACAAATTCTCAGCTTAAAAATATTTTTTACACCATATTGCATTCTTCCAATCAGTTACATCCTTCATTGATGATCATACATGTAACTTAAAAAAATTATTAGGTGTTGGAATTAATTCGTAGCGTTTTTAATGAAAGAATGTTATTTATTTCACATGAGCATTAAAAAATACATTAATGAAAGTACTTCCCATCACTTGTAAAACGCTACGAATTAATTCCAACACCTAATAAAACCATAAAACTTAAAAAATTCAATTAAAAATTAAAGCAGAAAATTAATCTGATCAGAAAATCTTTCAGAAAATCTGATTTCAAAATATAATTGAATGATTTATTTCAGCTTAACTTTCATTAACATTTATTTTTTTTTATATATCATTTTTTATACTTACAATAATACAAAATATATTATGCATTTTTTTACATCGATTTTTTATAAACATATTTGAAACTACTTTACTCTTGACCTTCAAGGTCGCTACACTTATTGATTAGAATTGTTACACTTATCGATATTCTACATTAGTATTAAACGTTTTCGTTAAAGGTATTTTTGCTTGTAATAATTTATATATCCATAAATTTAATATAATATTTGAATACCAATCGCCATATTTTCTTCTAAAATACTTTGAATAATTGGTATACAATAGATTAATAGAATATCGAAATAAGAAGTAAAACTAGTAATTTTTATTCTAAATCCAATATAGGTAGCCAATATATTTTCAAAAGTTCGATAAGTTTATCGAGATTTGCCAAAAAATTGGCATATTCACACGAATTCTAGAAACTGTGAATTTTCGAACCGTGTGAAGTTAGAACAAGCATAATGAAATTATACAATTATACAAGTACCAACACTTACCCATAACATCTTTATAGTCACTAATTTGAAACCCTTCTGCTCAAATCGTTGAATAATCTTGCCGACAAGACCACGCTGCACACCGTCTGGTTTAACCATGATAAAAGTACGCTCCTTGTTTTCCATAATTAATTTACAGATAACCAGTAGTAAAATCAAGACAGAACATAAGAACATGCGATACCAACGTGTCGCAAACTGCAAAGGCTGTTTTCCGGGTTCCGGTTCAGGGTTCACGGAACAAGTGATTGCCCTGGCCACAGTATACTAGATAGATACAGTAGGCTTACTCTACACGTAGTACGATTATATGAACCAAATATCGATTTATCATCTCCAGCCTTGAAAAATATACGATGTATCCTAATGGTTCCTGCACACTGGACGCGGAAACGCTTGCCGCGTGGCAAAATGTGATACGGTAACCAATAAGCTTATTGCTCCTAACATGTTCATTGGTTACCGCGTCTCATTTTGTCGCGCGGCAAGAGTTCAGTGTGCAGGAGCCGGAATCAGACTATGCATTGAAGATTGAGTTTGAAGATTAAAGATTGAAATTTCACCAATAAGGACAAAAAAATTTTGGCTCCTTTTATTCTGATTGGTCAAACTTTAATCTTTCAATCTTCAATCTCATTCTTTAATGCGTAATTTGATTCCGGCCTAAGTGAACGTTGTTATGTAGTTTACATCCACTTTGTCAGAGGACAGTAATGCGCGGCAGCATTTTGCGGTTATAGATTTTGGGCCGTCATGTCTTTTCTCAGGTTTTTCTCTGGTAGAAGCTATAACAGAAGCATGTTGGAGCATGTGACGCGAACGAACTTTTCCCTGCATTCATTTATGCAGCGATTAGCGCAGAAGTACTTTATTCTTGTTCACTGAGTGTTAAAAAAGGATTAAATGATACTCTCTGCGCTAACCGTTGCGTAAACGAATGCACCCTTCGGATTAAATTTGGCCACTGACGAGATACTATTAAAGACCGTCAACCCTGGGCAAATTTTCGGTGCTCCAATAAGAAGGATCTCAAGAGTCAGGAGGCAATTGAAGAACGCTGACATTATCGACAATTAATATAAATTTGCTATAATTAACATAAATATTTGGCTAATACATTAATGAATTTATGATCTTTTATTACATAAATGCTCCATAAATAAATATGCATACTTGTAAAGCTATAATATCTTATATATTGCTGAAAAATTACAATTTTTTTTCTCTACAATTATCATCTCTGTTGATAATCAAACTTTGACAATAATACTGAGATCACAATTTTAAAGAAAAATTGAGTAATTATTGAGTTCTAAATGCATAAATACGTCTACTAAACTAAATCATAAAATTAGTGTACTATTATCAGTTTTCAATTCTTAGGCTGGTATATTCAGTCAGATCTTATATTTAAGACCTTCTTAAGTTCAATTTTGAGATATTGGGTCATCTAAAAAGTATCCGCGGTTTTTTGTCACTAGATGTGTGTTGATGGTCATATATCTAGTGACAAAGTACCACAGAGTTTTTAGATGACCCAATATAATGAACCAATCAGAGGACCACATTAGCCACAAGCTGTCTTAAGACATTACTTAAGACAGTCTTGAAATAAAAACCAACTCACTTCAATATTCACATGGAAGCAAACTCCCGTAAGGATGTCGATTTTTAATAGTATCTCGTCGGTGATATGGGTTATGGCACGAGGCCTCCATATGATATGATCTTGGACGGGATAGATGACCATGAATTTTTGTATTTTTGTCAAACTCTTGGCAAAAAAGTTCATCCTGCTTCGGTAGATAGCGCTACAAGTAGTGGTTCAGCATTACAAGACGACAATTTGGCCCTTCTGGAAGATAGTTTTTTCTGTCAGAAAAAATTCTATTTGGTTGGAGTTGGATTTGGTTGTTTCATCTTCATGGGAAAACATGTCGAGTGATAATTTTATCAAAATTGGTAGTGAGGAAGCTCAACTGAAGAATTATTTAATTATCCAAAAAGAAGCTAAAGAAAAATATTTCTGGCCCTTGGTGTTTACTGAAATCTAGAAAGTAATAAATTATTGTACAAATTATTCTACACGTGTATTTGCTTATTATATATTCTGCAATGTTATTCGTTGCAATTAATTCTAAATTTAAAATATTTCAACATTCATTGTGATTTTAAACACATTGAAAATATTTGTCTTGTAAATTGCAACAAATATATAACATGATAGAAGATCCTACAAAATGTGAAGATACTGAATTTGGTAATGTGACTCCAGTGTGTTCTCAAGTGAATCAAATATATTTGGATACAAAATGTTTAATAGATAGTAAGAATACACAAGTTCGTGTTGTTCGCGGTGCTAAAAAGTTCAAAATTGATAACGATGTTAACAACATTGAGAAAAAAGGTTTGTTTACAGATAATTGTTTAGAATATCCCTTGCTCCTCCCCTTCCTTTCTCCTGAAATCTTAATAAAAATGTACCCTTTCAATGCGTATTCACTTAAATGAAAGAATCTGGCAAAAAAACAATCTTGTGCATCGTTATGTTATTATAGTCTATTTAATTTACAATGTGCTCATTGTTTTTTGTTTTTTACCTTTTGCTTTTTTCTCCTTTGCAACCGTTTTGTCGACAATTGTATTTCTTGCTACATATATCTTGTTTCTTTCAAAATTGGTTAACTTTTAGGCTAATTTTACAATGTACTTTTTATTTTCTGTTTCTTATTGTTTGTCTCTTGTCTTATTGACCAAGAAGGTAAGAGACAAACAGAGACAAACAGCAAGAAACAGGAAACAAAGAGCACATTGTAGAATTAGCCTTATCCACTTTTATCTCAGGCAACATAAAACAAAAATCGGATAAGAAGCAAAAAGACAAGATGTCAAAAAAATAGTAAAAGGCAAAAAACAGAAAACAAAAAGCACATTATAGAATAGGCTTAAGTGTTAAAGTTCGAGACTTCAAAGGTTAAGATATTTGTCATCCCGACTCGATGCAGCGTTATGTATACTGTGCCTTAATTACTGTGTGCTTTAATTATATAAACTACAATAAAAAAATTATAATCAAATTACAATCAAATGCTAGCATTTTATTGGTAGAACAAATTGACTACTGCGTGTCCTTGAAATAAAACAAGGAAAATCCTTGGGAATTGAAACCGATAGAAATGGATTCGTGTGGTCATTGCCGAATATAAAATTCTGATTTTCTGGATATTGGCGAGGCTGATCATCGCGTTTTTCTGCCAGATTCTCTAATTTTGAATAAATATAATAATACGCGTCGAATGAGATTTTTATTAGAATTTTAGGGAAGAAATAATTATTCTAAATAAATATCACTATTCATATAATTTATAACAAATATTTTAACTGTTACAATATTAAAATTAAATGATAAATTTTTTTATTTAAACAGATGCAAAAGAGGAAGAGACAGCAGAGGTTAAAGTAAAATCTCTCAAACGTTCCTGTGAATTATGGTCTATGGAGGATAAAAATACTTTTTTTAAAGCACTTAATGAATATGGCAAAGATTTCGATGCTTTACAAAGCTACTTTCTAAATCAAGGAAAAAAACGAGGTCTCTCAGACATCATGATAAAAAATAAAGAGCAAATTCGACATTTTTATTACAGAACATGGTTAAAAATATCAAAGCATCTTAAATTCTCAGAAGGTTAATATGTTTATATTAACATAATACGAATATGCATGAATTTTTATATTAATATATAAATACAATGTGTACAAACACATTGATGAAAATACATTACAGGTCTATTTTTTTCCTTCCTACACTATATTGTATTAGAGAGAGAGAATTCTCTTTCTTCCTTTTGCCAAATATTAAATGTATCTATTTCACTTTAAATTTCAAAGTACACTAATTCAGCCACAAAACATCCTATGATTCTGTCAATATATATTATATTGTCAAATGTAATATGTTCTTTTATATATAGATGTTAAAAAAACATCTCAGGAATTATATGGACTAATAAATTATGGTGAACTTAGAAGAAAATTACCTCGTATTCATGAGAAAGTTCACTTAAGATTGAATGAATTGGTATATTGGGGATCTACACAAGTCAGGCTTAGAGGAAAAACAATGAGAGTTAAAACACCAATATGTAGAGCACTTAGAAAATTAAACCAGTTAGAAGGTATATCTGAAATTTTTAATATATATTATTTAATGTACAATATTTAAAAAGTATATTATACTATATCACACATTACTGTGTTGTAACATAAAATACTTAAAGACGAAGTTTTTATTTTTTTTCAGTATATTTTTGTGAATTAAAATATTTCTACATATAAAATTTACCTTAGTGACCATCCGTTTTAAATTGGAGGGACAGTTTCAAATTTTAACTCTGTGTTCCACTTTACAATGCTTCCCAAATTGTACTCTAAATTAGGACACACGATAAATTTAGGACACATTATAAATTGCCTGGTGAAAAAATTTTGCTGAAATTATTCCACGATTTGGAACATTTCAGTGAAATTGCTGAAAATTACTGAAAGTTCTAAATTCGCTAAAAGTGAATTTCCCAGCTGATATATTGAAAAAATATCTGAAATTGAATTGAATAACTGAAATTTCTCTGAAATGTTTGCTGAAATTTTATTAAAAATGAATTTATCAGCTAAAAAACGCTGAAATTAAACTGAAATTTTACCGAAAAGTGTTCCAAAATGTGGAATAATTTCAGTGAAATTTTTCTATCAGGATTGTTCCTCTTTTAAGTTTAAAAATAATAAAGATAAAATAATATGTGAAAATAAGTGTGAAATGTACATATAATTTTCAACTAATATATGAAGAATTTTATGATTTTTTTATTTAAAAACCTAGATATTATTCATAAAACACATTAAGTAGAAAAGTATAATTTTAAAAATTATAATATGTTCTCATAATTTATGTAATTTTTGTTGTCATTTCGTGTGATGTTACATTAAGCATTATTAGTTATTTACAAATACATTAATATAATAAATATATTTCTATATATGTAATATATGTTTCTAATATGTGTTTTTATAAATATTTATTATAATTTATATTTCGTTAGCGATTCTTAAAAAATGAATTTATTAAAATTTAATTAGTATTGAATTTTTTTTAACGTCCCTCTTTGCCTTCTTAAAAAAGTTGATTTCTTTAGTTTACATGGCTTCTAAACTTAACTTGCAATTAGAGTAACACTGATATTACAGCATCTACTTAAGTGAGTCATATTTATAGGTTCAGGTTTATAAGTTCTTGTTTCCATCAAGCTGAAAGAATGAAAGAATGTAAATAAGTCAATA